AAATATTTAACAATTCTTTTTTTTTTATATAACGGAGATAATCAGCATTATTATATACAATCGTAGATTTTCCATTCATATAGTCACATTAAAGATTCATTATCATTTTAAAATTTATCCGAGAATAACTCAAAAGATACCTTTCTTTTTTAAGACATTGTTAACAAACAAAAATAATAAACAAATAAAATTTCATCATTGACAGACCTAATTTTAATGATCCCAGAAATTTGGACAATTTAGGACATTATAATATTTTTTTATTTCGTCAAATAAACAAAATATCAAATATCAAATAGCCAAATTCTCCGATGCATAAAATAAGTTCACCAATATATATCATTATTTATAAATATCCGATAAAATAATCCAATCATGAACTTCAAAAGATGAGATAAAACCACTCCCTTCAAATTTTAATCAACATACTATAAAAAATCTGACCCGAAACCACCCCCCTGGACATGATATACACTTGTCAGGTGGCTTTTTCTTGCCAAGATCATCATTCACAATAAATACATTTTTCAATAAACCATAAAAAAATAAAGCACAACAACAGTCAATAAATCTTTTAATAAAAGGGAAACAATTTATCATTATCAAATTTAAAATTTTTAATAATTGGCAATAATCATTTTTTAAATTTCTCTTGATGGGGAGACACACCGAATTCGTTTCTTTTGTTATGCAATTTTCAGTAAATAAAAAACAATTGTCATTAGAAATATTATCAACAAATGATTCGTCCTTAGATACTTTTTCGGTACAAGGATCCACACGACGTTCCTTTAAACTCCCCACCTCTACCATCGACAAGTGCAAACTGTCACGAGGAACCTTTTCAAAAAAATTCATTTCATTATTATTCTCTCCAATATCAATTAATCTCAAAAGACTTGTCTCACTATCGACATGATAATTATCATTCGAGCAAACATCATTATCACTCGCATCACAATGTCCCATCTCCAAAATATCAAATGTAGAAGGGATCCTTTCCACAGATTCCCTCTCGACAACTTCAAAACTTTTATCAATATACTCATAATTATTATACTCGACTTTATCAAAATGATCAACACAATTAATATTTACATTATTATATGAATCATCATAAATAATTTCTAACTGTAACAATATTGATGAAATTCTATCGAAGTCAGAAAAATCAACCAATACCATGGCTTCGCGAACGCACATAGGCATTTGTTGAATAACAGTAAAGTGAACTTCATAGGATTCCATCAATGGTTCAATAAAATATGCTTCATTAACTTGTCTCCAAAAATAAGATGTTAATTTATCATTTGCCGAATCAAATTTTTTACTTAACCATTTCATTTTTAACTGAACTCGAGTGGGAATCGAAAAAAATACATTTAAAAATTCTTTTTCAAAATCATTAAAATCAACAAAAGAATACTTTTGATTTTCATACCATAATTTTTGATTACTGGACAAACAAATATCTAAAAATTTAAATTTATCAGAACCATGTATAAAATTTAATTTAAAAAATTTTTTTATCTCTTCCAAAAATCTTTTTGGATTTTCAAAATTTTCAGATAGAGGAGGCTGCATATTAAAATTCAAATTTTGAATAGTCGAAATCAATGATGTGACTAAATGATTTTCATCAGCCTGTCCAATATTATTTTTCAACATACACTTTAAATTATTCAATTCAAAATTTTGCATTTTAATAATCTCGTATAATTCAGATATTTTGTCACTCAGTTGTTGACAATTGTCAATATAAAATCTATCGTTATTTTCATTCATTTCAATTTAGATATAAACAGTGTAATTACGCTAATGAGTTTCTATTGTTCGAACTTACACTCTTCACAAAACAATATACAAATCTTACACACTTTACAAAATTTAACGACAATCAATTAAAACAATTTATAAAAATTCAAATAAAAATCTCTTTTTTTAAAAAAAATACGGGCACTCATTCAGGTCCCTGTTCGGGCGCCAAATGTAACGATTTTTACTACTTAAAAATATAAATAAAAACCGCGACAATAAAAATTACAAAAATAATATAATTTCAAAATAAATAATTTAAATAAACCATTAAATAATCAAATAAATCAAAAACAACAAAATAAATGATATTGAAAAATATACAAACAATTCACACAAAAAATATAAATTATATTTCAGTCAAAATCAACATGAAAAAAAGGGCCTGACGTCAGGAATTCAATTACAGAATATATAAAAATACGCAATCAATAAATTAAATACATAAATACATACAAATTAAAAAATATATAAAGAAATTGGTCAACTTAAATACAATAAAAATTATAAATAATACGTTAAAACAGCAAAGAGATATTTAAAATAATTATTAATACACAATTCGCCTCGCGACCAAATTCACTCTCTTATAATTAAATCAATCAGAAAATAAAATCACACGTCATACTCATTAATGAACAATTTGTGAAATTCTGGTCATTGTGAAATTCTTTACCCTAAATAATTAGGTGTAAAGATCTTGTATTAAATTTAGGCACAACTTACGGAGCATTCTCTGCAACTCTCGCAATGATTCTGTCAGATCAAAAATCCAGGGAATGTGCATCGTTCAACATCCGAGCATTATCGTTGATCCTGGCTTTATTAATATAGCAATCCTTTCTTTCATGATTCTATTAAATCCGATTGATATTAACGGCCACACTTTATATAAATAAAACAAAAAAAATGGATTTGATAAATAAAAGACTAATTACATAAAAAAAAAGAAATTAAAACAAATATTTTGACTACAAAGACAACTACCTTTCCGTGTCCTCGGCCGGCACGTGAGAGTGTAGCCGCAGCCGAATCCGTGGTCGACGAATTGCGAAAGTCGATTATTAAATTAATTATTCGCACTTTTCATCGACCCCGCGATTCAACCCGCAAACTCCCACTTATGCCTAATTTCACGAGAACACGGAAATTAGACAAAATTTATCAATTACTCGGACGTCGAACCGGTCACATTTGCCAGGGGCCAAAGGTTATAATATCATATGATATCGCACCGCTTCAAGTCTGTAGAATATTTTCATTAGGGTGTAATACATATTTATGCCTATTAGTTTTACACTAGGATTAACTGTTTAGTAAATATTATAAAAAAACTATTTTTTGTCAAACGCACGCAACTAAACACTATAAATGACCTTGAGATTTAGTATTGCCAACTCAGGAGTCTAACGTATGTGTTGAGTTGGCAAGGCTGAGTTTCAAGGTTATTTGTGTTTAGTCGCGCGCGTTTGACAAAAAATAGTTTTCTTATAATACTTACTAGACGGTTAAAATCCTAGTGTAAAACTACTTGGCATAAATATTTATTACACCCTAATGAAAATTTTCTTTACTGGAAGTTTTTAATCACGAAAAATTTTTCAGATAAACGAAGCTCTTGAACATTGAAAATAATAATTTGACACTGTGCAAGAAAAGAATTAATAACTTTTTTCAAATACAATATTTTACTTTCATTTAAAGTTTTTTGTTCTTGAACTATGTTTTCTGTGAATTTCTAAACCAAATATTCATAATTTTCAGTTTTAGATCGAGTTAAAGTGAAAAATATTTCCCCAAACAAATTTCTTTTTTTCTTTAAAAAGTTTAGTGATCGTTGCCATTATCGTTGCAAAATTCTTAAAAAATCGCCGAAAGAAGCTAGCAAGACCATTAAATCGACGGGCCTCGTGTAAATTTTTTTAGATAGAGAAATTCAAAAATTCGAAATTTTAGAGAAACTTATTCAAATACAAAAAAAATAATTTATGTTCTAACATATTCAAAATAATTTGTATCAAATAGACACCAAAGACGGTGTAATTAAGAGTTGGTTTCCCCTAACGGAACTTCAAAAATTAGGACTCAAAAGATGCGTCTAAAAAAACCCTAAAAAATTATGGAAAAACATTTATAGGTGCCCTAACATTTTTTCAAAGTTATGGGCAAAAAACGTTTTTTTGCAAAATTAAAACTCCAAAAGAAATTTAGTTAAACTTTATTAATCTATCTCAAAGTACTCTCATTTTATGTCCGCAGGTGAGATCTACAATTTAAAAAAAATTCAAATCAAAAGCTCTTCATGATTTCGAGATATTTATGAAAATTTTATGTTTTGTTACGTCCGTAACTTCTTATTTAATATTCTTGATTCAACTATGTATTTTCTTATTAATATTCTTGATTGAACTATGTATTTTCTATAATATTCACGTGTGTATGTGTATGTGTATGTCATATATTATTACATTGTATTCAGTACATTTTCTATGAATATGATATTTGTTATTATATATTTTCTATGTATTTCCAACAAATTGATAAGTTATAACAAATCCAAGAAAGAGAAGTTATATTTTAAATAATGTAAAAGGAATAACGATTACGCATCAATTTGACAACCTTCTGCAATCTAGACCACACATAAGGAAAGAAGAATGCACTCTGAAAGAGAGAGAAACGACACATACCAGAATCAAGTCCAGTGAGACCTATCCAAATACATGGCGAATGAAGAAAACCCTATTGATATTAGTCCGGTGACGTATCGCTGCACCTACCTGCACATGTAGCATTTCGGCACGTGTAATATTCGTGAACCACCTTGCATTAGAAATTTGATATAAAAAGGGGTAGCATCTTCGATAGAGCAGAGAGTATTTTTTTGGAAATCAACCTAATAACATCTTTGAAAGAGAGTTTTTTTGGAAATCAACCTAATAACATCTTTGAAAGAGAGTATTTTTCTGAACATCAGCCATAACACATCGAAGTCAACTTAAGTGCAATCCCAGTATACAGTTTAGAAGTTAACTAAACTACATCCCCAAGTATATTTTGAGACCAAGTTCGGTACAACAATTAGTAAATTCACTTATTTAACTACGAGCAATAAGTGATAACCCAAGAAGAATTAAATTGTTTTCAAGTTTCAAAATCAAATATTGAAACAGTATTTCTAATTTCTAAACATCAAGATTTGCTTTGGAGGCGACAGTCTGCAAGAAGAGTAAAATCCCCAACAATACAATACACTAAATCCCATTAGTGTAAACAACAAGGCTAATATACAACCATTAAGGACACCAACCACAGGCTCCTTTGTGTCTACTTCTAATAACCACTTCAGTTCGGAAATCGAGATAACAATCACCAGTTTTTTAACACCTGCAATAATCGTTATTCCAAAAGTAAGATTTTTCTACTCATTGTATTTTTGTACTACTGTCAATTCTTTTCTTACTTGGTTGGTTTTAAATAAATATTCTCTCACAACATTTAGTAAGCTCATTGACATATCCTCATCCCAAATTAGATTCAATTTCTGAAACCAATTTAAAACGAGGAATGTTAGGTATATTTAAAAAGGTTTCAGTTTTGATGTAACAGTTTACACACACATACGGAATGACATTTTTAAAACATGTCATTTTTGAACTCCTGTGGTCAAATAACATAAAGATATATAAAAAATCGAACTCGAAAAATTTTGCCTAGGTATTACAATACTTCCTCTAAGAGGAAGTAATAATTAATAATATAATTTCATATAATACTTCTGCTAATTATGTTTAACCTATTGAATTATAAAAAAATATTGAATTTAAAAAAGTCAATTGTGAATCACTAATGGTCGCTATCAATGCCAGTTCTATCTGTAATGTGATTTAGTTTGATTACATATTCGATACATAATGTTGTTGTAAAAATGAATAAAACATGAATCTGTCTTATATCGCTGTTACAGATTACTTAGGTATATATCATTTGTTATAATTGTTATTAAATTCAACGCTAACACTTCTTATAACATATAGAAGAGACCGGGGTAAATCCGGTCACTTTTGGTCAGATAGATAAAAATCTAGAAAATTATACTCTAAATCCAAGTTAATTTATATATTATATCATTCGAAAGCTTATGATTTCTACTATCAAAATAAAAAAGAGTTTTTGATTTACCTTTTTTAGTTTTACTTATACATAATTTTTAATTAATATATATACCAAATTTTAAAATCCCAATTTTCCAGGGTAATTTCGGTCACTTGATTTTTCGAAACGGAACAGCCCAGCAAACACTGTTACAGATCTGTTACAGAACTGTGACAAATAATTGAAGAACTTGTTCTGTAACTCGTGACTCACAGGTGACTCACTGGGTACGCAAAATATCGTAGTCAGAGGGATGTCACAGTTAAGTAACAGATCTGTAACATGGTGACAAAGATACTTGTCACAGTTCTAGAACAGTTACAAATATCTATTACTCATACCTGTCATTAAAAAATATTTAAATTAGAATAAAAATAATATTCCACGCTGTTCTCGCATGTCATACATACCCGGAATGTTTATACATGTCGAAGAAAATTTGTTTTTCTATTTATTTAAATAATTACAATCACCAAGTCTCGAACGCAAGACGCAGCTGGGAGTGGATTAGAAATCAAACGCTCTACCAACTGCGCCGCGGAGGCTCATGGAATGAAGTTTACTGGTTACTGGTTAAAATGGTGTAATACACTCTAATACACTAAATTTTCTTGCTATTACGCGTATTATCTAGTATTATAGGGTATTACAGAACTATTACAGGGTATTACTAATTATTACAGAATATTACCTCTATATTATGTGGTATTACACTGACGTAATAATGCTCTATTACACTCTATTACGTGAGTAATACGGGAGGAGCGTACACGCTAATACACAAGTAAGTACCCCCTCGATTACATTACATGCACCATTAAAACATTTATGAGACTTTTATACATAATAATATTTGTTTAGTATTAAATGTACTTTACTGTTTCTGTGAAACTTTACTTTACTGTTTGTTTATCTTTATGGACGATTTCTCTTTGGTTGTCCTTGAGATAATTTTTGTATTTTGATGCTTCATAGATTCTTCCACAATTTTCCTAAAAGGGCAGGAGCTGATATGGAGGGGTCAGTCTTCTTTCAACAGTGAAAGTGTTCAGTGCGTCGATTCCTTCTTAGTGTCATTGTATTATAATTATTATTACTATCGTCGTTAAATAGTTTGATTGTTATTCTTCTTCGTCTTTTTTTGAAGAAAGACAACGTAATTTATTTGTCAATTATAAAAGTTAATATAATTCCAAGAATTCTTTGTGATTTGTTAATCCTGACCCATTCTATTCAATGATTCCTTATCTTCTGTTATATCACAAACAATATTGTTTAAATAGTCACCAGAAGAATAATAAAAATGAAGAAAATTTAAAGATAGAGTAAAAAATGCTACTAATAGTAGTATAAAGAAATAAGAAAGCAATTTGTTGTCAATAATTACTATATAGGTATTTTTTATAAATTATTATGAATTATATTATATTATATTAAAAATTATGAGCTACACTAAATTTGTAATTATATATATATATATATATATATATATATATATATATATATATATATATATATATATATATATATATATATATATATATATATATATATATATAATATTAGAAGAGTTTAACATTGTTCGCACATATTTCCAGAAATGTATTTACAGAAATGTTCTTAATTGTAATTGCAAGTATATTACAGAACTGCATTGCAACAGATGTTTAGACCAGTTACACAACAATATTCCTACACAGTTATAGAACAAGGTTGGAACAACAGTTACAGAAAATTTGTGACATTAAAGTTATGTAACTCTTACATCACATTGTGATAGAACTATGACATAAGCATAATACAGAACTATTCTGTAACTAACTTGTAACTATGTTCTAGAACTCTGTTACAATCAGGTTATATCACAGATCTATAACTAGTGAGGAACAAATGTTCTATAACACTGTGACCTCACTGTTATAGAATACTTATATAACGTGTTTGCTGGGAGTTTTATTTCTTAAATATTAAAATTCGCCTTATTCCCGTCTTAAGTATGATTTATTATTGATAAATTATGAGTTTTATAAACAATAAATATTGATTTAATAAATAATAAATATAGGTTTCATAAATTACAACTATGGATTTATATAATGTTATAATTTATTAAGAGAAAGTGAAATATGGTTACAATTTTGGATTTAACAAGTTATAAATTTCATTATTGTTGAAAAATAATACGTGAAAGTATTTTGTTCTCAATTTTAAACTGAGTGACCGCGTCTTTACCCTACTTCACGTGACCGAATTTACCGTGTGACCAACTTTACTTTGGTCTTCCCTATATGTAACATATGCTGCATTCTTGTGACTGAAAATGTTACATACTCTTATATAACATATATGTAATTATTACATATTTATGTTGATTTAGTTTATACTCTATTTAAGAAGACTTTGTCGCTGTTATAAAATATTACATGCAAATACAAAAACTTATTGTTTATCCTCATTGTCATGTTTTTAATAGTAACTATTTTAAGAACTTTTTAATACTACAGATTGTAAGATAAAACAGAATATTTTTTCTCCATTGCTTCTCCAAAGTGCGACTTTTAAAGTAGGTCTAATCGGAGTAATAATATTTTTTGGTACATTCACTTTCGTAGCATACGTTACAAATTCTCCAATTTTCAAAGGACATTTTCCGACTTTTAAAGAATTGCAATTATTCCCAGAATGTAATGAATATTTTATATTCATTTTATTAATAGCAATTTTTACAGTTGGTTTAATAGCACTTGTCCATTTATCTGAAAATAATAATCTTATTAATTTCAATCAACACATATCGAATTATTATTAAATCGGATAGGCGCGAGTTGTACTCGCAATGAAATCGCGGGTTCCGAACGAAAATATTAATCTTATTTAATACACAAAAATAAATATATATTGTACAATGTCTAAATTTAAAAGCAATAAGTAGAGAAACAAATTTCAAACAAATTGTTTCTCTATTTATTGCTTACTATATTATATATACAGTCAAGTCTCTAAAGTACGGTTAATCCCTATTAAAAATAATCACGTGTAATTACATGTGTAGGTTTTTTTTCATAACCACTAGGTTATGTGGGGATGACCGCTCTTGTTCTGGTCAACTCACTAAAAACCACTCCCGCCTTTATCTGGACCATTCTTCAATCCACAGAACCACCTATTGGCTTCGAACTTCGTGAGTGAAGGTCCCATTATGTCGCTCACGCGACCTTTCCGTGCCGTTCTGCTTCCGCACTATTTATTCTTGGACCTAGTGAGAGTCTTCTTGGCCTCCTCAAAGGCAGATTTAAAGACTCCGCATGCACCACTATCTGCGACATGGTTTACATCAACCTTGTCACTATGCTTTTCTTTGAATAAGAAGCAGGTTGGGCTTCTTTTACAAGACGCAGACTTATTACCGGCCTCACCGCACCTAAAGCACGCAGCCGATCTGTCTACCGCCATACAACCTCTTCCTATGTGGCCGTATCCCAAGCACCTATTCCCATGTAGAAATTTCCCTACGCGTCCCTATCAAATCTTGGATTCTCATTAGAATCACGCTAGAAAATCTAGTTTGGAAAAATCTGACTAGAACCTGTTTAGATTCTTGTGAGGAAATTCGGACTAGAAATATCTAGCTAGATTACGCATAAAATCTAGAAAGGTAATTCAGATTAGAAATCACTGATTAGACCCTTGCTATATTCTAGTCAAAGATGCCCGGAATCGGAATTAGATTATTTTTTAGTGTTTTTTAAATCTTTTTGTTCTGATTTTTTAATTAAATTATGGCATGTTTTGTTAATTTAAAAATTGACCCTAAGTACACGTAAATAGTAGGTAATAATGAAAGATGAAATTTTGTCAAAAAATGATTAATTAATATAGAATATTAATTTATAACGATTCTCACAAGCGCAGAAAAAAGTGAAAAGTTAGTATATAAGAGCGGTTCGGAATGCGTGTGGTATCGCGTAGGTAATGCAGTGTGTCGAGCGTGAGTGTTAGGTTAATAATAGGATAGGTATACAAGCAAGCGAACAAATTTTCTACACGAGATATAATTAAAACTAATATAATTTTAATATACATATAGTTATAATTAATAGGGAAGAGTCTCCAGTTGTGAGACAGTCAATTTTTTTTAACATGCAATATTAAAAAGCCGATTGGTTTATATAAAAACATTTCTTTTTATATGAGCCAACTTTTTCGTGTACGTCGAAGCGGATATATAAACTGTTTTTGTTAAATACCAACACTGTGTGTGATAATCTACTAAAAAGCGTTTTTTCCATAAATGCAAAGTACTTTTTTTCCAAATTAATTAATTGGAAAAGGTAAATGTAATGCATTTTCTTTTAGTGTTTTCCTTATATTTTGTGATGCAATATTGCATTGTTTCAATCTACGGTTGAAAATAATTTAATTTTCCTTTTTCAAAATAGCGCCAATTTCTGGGTGTGAGACACAGCATATCACCAGTTGTGAGACGGTGTCAACACCCATCTGGGCAGCATAAAAAATACGACTTTGCAGGCATACTATTTAAATGTTGTTTTTATTTTTTTTCTAGTATTTTTGGGCATGTCAAGTGGAAAAAAGTCAATTGATTCAGAAGAAATCAATTTTAATGCTCTTGTTGAAGCTATTTAATTGTGTTTATTTGGTAGTCATATTTTGGCGAATAAATATTATTATTTAGTATATAATAATATATATTATTAATATATTTAATTATTTCTACTAAACATAACGTTTTATGTCTAACTTATTAAATTTTAGCAATTTTTAATGAGTGTCTCACAACTGGAGACATTTTTTTTTTGACAAAAGCGATGTGCTCGGAAAATGTATCGTAAAATTTTTTGAGTTCATCGAAACACTACACTTTCTTTTAATGAAAGTTGCGTATTTCTCTTACACGGAAAAAATCTTGGGTGACGTGCCGTTCTAAGTAGACCGAAAATGTACGAATGCGATACGACTTTAGTTTGGAGGAGCTGCATTTCCAACTTGGGCGTGCTGAACGCCCAAGATGCGGTTATTGCAGTCCCAAGGTTTTGAGTCTCAAATCTTGGGTGTTCAGCGCCACCGACATGGGAACGTAGATTTCCCGAATTGAGAACGTAGCACATCCAAACTATAGTTCCCCCACTTTCCGACGATTGGGATTGCACGGTACTCGACATTTTTTCAGTGTACCTTTCGAACGGTGTATTTTATTTACAATTTTGTTTACCCGTTTACAATTTACGGGTCAAAAATGAAACCCGTCTCACAACTGGAGACTCTCCCCTACTAATAACAAATCTCTAAAAGGATCCGTTTATTTTACACTTGTGGGGTAGCAGCTAGTTTTACTTGCTAGTTCCCGACTAGAAATTCTAGACTAGTACCCGATCTGACGACCGTTATGAAAGTAGTTGGGTTCCAACTATTTTCCCTAATCAATTCCCCACTACAGATAGGGACTTCTGACTAGAACCCCATCAAACTCCAATCTTAATTTCTACATGAGTTGCACCTGACGGCCATACAACTCTTTCTGATTGGGCACGACAGGAATCCCACCTTTATGCGTCCCAACTTTTCAAGTCTTGTAGCTTCCTCCAAGCTCGTTCCTACAACAGCAAGCTTCAAGCCACGCTTGTTGGGCCCAAGGACCGTCACCTCGCCGTCACCTTTCTGCAGGCTGATACATGTGTAAATTACACATGTAAATACATGTGTAATGCACGTGTAAATACAAGAAGAAAAGTTTTTTCATGTGCAATAACTTTTCCTCGTGTAATTACACATGAATTACACATGTAAATACTGGTGTAAAAACTTTTCCAAATCGACACGTGATTTTTTTTACTAGGGATTTTAGGCAATGTCACAGTTTCGAGACCTGACTATACAAGCTTATACATATTTCTTTTACATTTATGTTTGTATATCAAATTAACTTAATATTGGTGTACGGAACCCGCACTTTTAGTGCGAATCTAATTCGCACTTATCCAGTTCATTAAACTTCTTATACATATAGCCTCGTAACAATCAATTTTAAGTTTGTTAACCATATTTCTTTCAATCAACTTTCTTCTTTGCCATTTTTTAACCAATTTTGATAACACTAAATTAGTGTAAAGGCAAATCTTTCTACGGCGGAAAATATTCAGGTAAGCGTAAAAGGGATTAATTATATCGGTTAAAGTTGTGACAGTGTGAGTGCCATCAAATTCAGGGCCGAAAAGTTTTAGTGACACTTAGTTTTTATAATATTTTTATAATTAAATTATTTAAATTTTATTTTTTTACTAAAGCTGAAAGACAGTATTGTAAACATATTGTTAAATAAAGTTATTAATATAAAACGCGAGCTTAATTTCTAAATCGCAAAACGGTTTTCAAAAGGATAGATCCTGTATAGACAACCTGGCAAATTTAACTTTAAAGATTGATGAAGCTTTTATTAAAAAAACAGCATTGACAGCATTCCTTGATGTGAAACGAGCTTTCGATAATTTCAATATCGATAGTCTGCTGTCTAAGCTGGTTTCAATGTATTGCTCGTTAGAATTGATTTCTTTTATTAGTTTTATTTCACGTGAAAGACATATTTTTACAGCACATACCCTAGATGAGATAAGAATAGTTTTTAAGAAGGTTCCTCAGGGTGGCGTACTAAGCCCACTATTGTATCTGATTTATGTGTCTTGTATCGTTCATGACTTAAATAAAAAGCGTTGTAGTCTATCAGTTTGCAGACGATGTAATATTTAATGTAATTTACGACGTAATATTTAAGGCGTTCTCTGACAGAAACTCCACCTTAAAAAAAATTTTTTTTGTCAATGAAATATGTTAAAGTATACACTGAAAAACTGTTGGTAGAGCAGTTCCGCTATTGACTGTTGTGCAGCGCTACTTAACTTTAAACTCACAGCTCTATCAAAATTAGGCGAGTTGCTCTCCTAAACTTGACTACCAATGGCGTTGGCGAGCGGCTGCTTGACAAAAAGGACAGCAGCTCTATCAAAAAGAAGAGTTGCTCGCCCAAAAAGGAGAGTAACTCGCCCAAAAATAAAGTGAGCTGTGCGTTTCTTTTTAACGCAGCAGTTCACCGCATTGGGCGAACAGCTCTACCAACAGTTTTTCAGTGTACATAAAACAAGTATGTATAGTAGGTTTTTATGACTGTTTAATACGTGGTTGCCATGTTGTCAGGGGCTTAATTTTTTAGCAGTATAATTTTCAAATGGAAATATCTTTTTCCCATATCAACGGATTTAAACTTAATTAGTCGTAAAATTTAATAAATCGTCCGCCATATTAGATCTGACATTTTGAAAATCTGATTTCACATGTTCCAAAAATGTATTCTACTCAAAAATTCCTAAATGACATGTCACTGCACAACTTTATGGTGAAAATGATAAAAAATAATATGGTGAAAATAATAGTTACAATTGATGAGGTGCACCGCGTTGCATAATCATATGTCGCTTGTACTCATTTCAATGTCCAAAAATGAAACTTGCATAGAAAGAAAGTTGATAAAATAAGGAATATTCTAGGGTATTTTTGAAAAAATTTGAAGGGGGAAAGAAAGGAGGAAATTAAAAAGAAAAAAATTTTTTTAACAAAACTACATTTTTTAAATAGTCAGTAATTTTATTCGGAAGTTTGGAAAATTCTCTACGAAAAACGTTTCTACAACGTTTAAATCCATTGATATGGAAAAAAGATATTTCCATTTGAAAATTGTACTGCA